CTGTTCCGAGAACACCCGCAGCTCCAGGATGAAAGGGAGTGGCTAGTAGGAGTGTGGACAGCGTGTCCCCCACGGAAGCACGAGGCAGAGCCTGAGGTGCAGAAAGCTGGGCAAGCCACCCTAAGCTAGCGCTCAGAGCAGAAGGGGGGCACCCTCACGCCGCACCCTCTCCCAGGCCCCTCCAGGCACAGGACCCTCTTATTTCAGGCAGGCCCAGGGATTTGAACCAGGGTTGCCGTGTGGAATCCGGCTGCTTCTCTTGTGCGACACCAGACTCTCCCACAGCCTGTGTGTTTTCCTCTTAGTCTAGCCTGACCCTTTAGTCAAGCTGAGTCTCAGGGTAGGCAGGCTGGGTGCACAGCCGAGTCTTGGGGTAGGCAGGCTGGCTGCACGGCCGAGAGCCTCCCAGGGCCCAGCCTGCACCTGCTTTGGGGGCTTTCTGCCCAGTAGGCCGCAGTGCACCTGCAGGGGGATGAGAGGTCAGGGTGGGTGGCCTCGACTGCACCGCCAACAGCTCCCTCCCCGCAGGGGCCTGTCCTCAAGCAAATCCGTACCAAGCCCTCTGTCCGGTGTCGCTTGGGCCCACCTTGCCAGCCATTTCTGGCTACATTATGGTGCTGTCTCCCTCTGCTTGGACACTCCAGCAGGGAGGCGGCAGGGCCTCCTGGGCAGTGCGTTTGTCGGAGTGTCCATTTAAATTGTTCCCTTGTTTGAGGTCAAGCTAGTGAGGCAGGACTCAGCCCTCCCAGCCAGTGGGTCTCCTCAGGAAGCCGTCATGAAAGCTCGACCTGAGGTTCGCTCACGGCTCCTGCCTGCGGCATGGAGGGAGGCGGGCGGATGCGGGTGCAGGCTCTGGTACCAGCCCCCCCACCTGTCTCCCTACTGGGGAGGAGAGACCTGGGGGCCCTGGCCCACCCCCGCTGTGCTGGACCCACTCCCGTTGTGCTGGCCTGGCTAAACCCAGTCAGCTCGGGCAGAAAGGAGGGAGGGGTCTTCTGGACCTCAACCCCTCACTGATTGCTGCGGTGACTTTAGCAGGGCTGTGCCATTTCCTTGTCTGAAACTCTGGGTTTGACTCTCAGTGCGGTGGCTCGGCGAGGGAGCACCTGTGTGCGCTCCACAGTGACACGCGGGCACATGCACACACAGGCTGCCAGCTGTCCTTCCCTCCTGCATCTGCGCCTCCACCCACAGCCCACGCTCTGCCTGTCAGCGCCCGCACTCCGAGGGCACTGGCACTGGGCGTCAGCCCTGTAGACCACAGTGCCTTCAGGGTAGCTCTCGTGGGCTCCCCAGGCCATGTCGGGCCCATGGACGTGGGTGTGTGCTGGCCTCAGGCCCTCGCTTGTGCTGGTCTCCTTGACCCCAGGAAAGACGTTGACAATGGTTTCACAGGAGACATCTCTGGAGAAGTCGCAGAGGTTGGGTTCTGCATCCGTCAGTTTCGACTCCTGTCTCCCTCCCTTCTTCCTCCATGTTAACCCTTCCTGTCCTGCCAGGCCATGTTGGAGAGGCCGCAGGCACCTTGGGATCTGGTGGAAGGTGGAGGTGGAGAGCCACGTGGTTAATCGTGGTGGGGCATACGTGGCCTGTGTGCGTTGAAGTGGCACTGGGGTTCTGGACAGGAGGCGCGGCCCAGCACGTTCTGGTGGACTCACACAGAGGGGGTTGGCCAGAGGCCAGGTATGGCAGGGACACAACTGGGCGTCCAGCCTGGGACGACAGTGGAGAAGGAGCAAGGTTATAGCTGGGTGTTTCCGGAAGCTAGACGGGAGCGTTCTGCCAGTGTAGCGTACAGTTCTCGTGTGACGCAGTGAGACCCATGGGCAGCAGTGGCCGAAGTTCACGTGACCAGGAGCAAGCTGCGAGACTAAAGGAAGTACTCTAAACTAGCCCAAATTACTCTAAACTAGCCC